AGGTCCAAGAAGCAAAACAAGTTGACCAAGGTCACACAGCTGGTAAGCAGGAGGTAACTAAGACCTAAATGCATTTCTCTCGTGTTCATCATTTTGGATGACACAACGTAACAGGGAAGAGCTGCACGTCCTGTGACACAGACATTTATCCCCAGTGTGCTATTTAAGTGAAACCCCAAATCATCTTAAGAAACAGTGACAAACACCAAAGAACTATCCCCTTCACCTCAACGAGACCCACATCAACCCGGCCTCAGAAACCCAACTTCACACGAAAGCAACTCCATACAGGGCAAACGTGTAACATCAGCTTGTGGCTGCAATCCAGCCAAACCAAATGGGAAAGACACTTAACAATCAAGAGCCTTAAAACATCTAGAACCTTAGACTTGGTCATTCTAGACCCAGAAATCAACCTTAAGGAAATCTGAAAGATGGAAATAGGTTTATCTGCACACATGCACGTGCATACAGACTCATCTCAGCATGAATTACGAGAGATGAATACAAAAAATATTCTTAATACTCAAAAATACAGATAAAATTTGGAAAATGACAAACTATCATTACGATGGGATAGAACAACATTATGTTGCATTAAAAGTCATGCTTAAAAGCCCGCTTTTAACTCCATTTAGAAATACTTCTATTACAGTAAGAGAAAAATCCAATGAGATTGTTGACATTAGATGATCTCAAATTTAAAAGAAATAAGCAAAGAAAAGAGAAAGGAAATCCAGAGAAATACATTAATGCTATTTTCTTCTTTATGCTCTTAACATTTCCCAACTTGTCCATGGAGTTAATAACAATAAGCATTGACAGAAATGATAACCCAGGTTCCTGGATCAAATGAGCAACAGGTATAATATGAGATCGAGAAGAATTTAGTTTGTTTTCAGATTATGCTTCCAACAAGCTAGGATTTAGAAAGCGATTGACGGAGTGATCCATTAAAAAGTGGTTCAGTCCCAGAAGAACCATGGAAAGCAGACGTGGGAAGCCCCAGGAACAGTCTACACCACAGCAGGTCCACTGGGGAGCAGGGGCGAGGAGGGGGGCAGGTGAGTAACCTGAGAAATAGGGTGGGAGGGCCTTGATGGAGCTGAGAGTTTAAAAAACAGCTCCTCTCAGGATAAAAGTCAGATAGTTCAAGGAGGGAAGAAGCGACCAGAAATCCCAGGACAGAGAACCATCCAGAAAGGACACATGATCAGCACCCGTAGCTCCAGTGTGTAGGGAAGACCATTTAGAGGCATAATCTTATAAACACTGTTTACCAATGTTTCAACTTCTAGAATCAATCCTGCCAATAAAGCACAGAAGTCTTAATTATGGATGTGGGAGAGAATATGAACGTTATCAGCCTTGCCAACATGAAAATATAGATGCCAGAAAGAGGGAGGTGGAAGAGGAAGGGTAGGCATGCGGATATCTCAGGCTCAGCAAATGTGAGTCACAGGATACCAGGGAGACCTTCGAGGGGGGTGGGGAAGGGGGGTGGAGAGGAGCACCTAAGCCTATTATTTAGAGATACTGACCACCCCGCCCCCATTCACTTAGGAACAGGACTGAGGGCAGGCAAGAAGAGGACAGGAAGACAGAGGATTTCCGCCCCTTTCCACACCAGCCTTTCCCACTTGATTTTAAATATGTGCATGTATTATTCGATTGAAAACCCAATTCTTTGGGCGCCTGGGTGGCTCAGTTGGTGAAGCCTCTGCCTTCTGCTCAAGTCATGATCTCAGGGTCCTGGGATCCAGCCCTGCATCTGCGCTCCCTGCTCACCGGGGAGTCTGCTTCCCCCTCACCCTCTGCCCCTCCCCCCCACTCGTGCACGTGCTCTCTCAAATAAATATAATCTAAAAAAAAAAAAACACAGATTCTTTTAAAAAGGTGTATGACTCTGAATTCAAACACACTAGGGCTCCCATCCCTCTTTCTTATTTGCATATGTTCAAGAGCTCTGCATCTGTAGGAAGTAGGAAGCAGCCATCTGTGGGACAGGCCAGTAGCCTGGGATAAAGCTTCCCCCAACAACCCTGGACAATAATGCAAATCGCCAGCAAGCTGAAGCCACTTTTCAGTGCAAACCATACCAAACATCTTGCACTTGCAGATACTCTGGGAAGGGGTGACATAAGTGGGATCATAGCACACATGCCACTTGGACCATAAAGACTTTTAACTTTAACAAAAAGGTACACCACATGGACTTTTGAAATGGTGTGCTTCCTTCTCTTGATCTCCCTGTGCAGGCTCCATGCCCTCTGTTCAACACCACCTCCTCTGAGCACCTGGAGTGATCTGATGCCCAAGTCCAATCATATCGCCCTCCGGCCCCAGATTCTTCCTTGACTTTCCCTGGAGAATCTCTGGGAGGTGGCCTCTTTTCTACTGGGTTCCTTTCCACAATGCCCTGCTGAGGTCTGGCCCTGCAAACAGCTCATGTGGCCCCCGTACAGAGCCAGCTCCCACCCATCTGAGCCCAGCAGGTGCTGCTCCAACTGCCTACAATGCCCTCCATCCTTCTGCCCAGGAAGCCTGGAATCTCTGCTTCAAAGATTCAGCCCAGGTAAGTCCTGTCTCCATGGGCATGTCAAGCCTGGACGGACTTATGCCCTCTACTCATCACTACATTTATATGCATTCTGCTCCTTTCCCTTTCTGGTTTCCCAGTGACTGGTTGTTCCATCTCTGTGTCTCCAGGTCCTAAACCACAACAGCCACTACAATAATAATTACAACAACCAAGACACACTGAGGTCCTAGCACAGGTTGGGTTCTAAGCACTTTGTAGGCATTATTTCTTTTAATCCTTCCAACAACCCTATGAATGTAGGCACTGTTACAATTTTCATTTTCCAGACAGAACAACTGTAGTTCAGAGAGTCCAACAACCTTGGGTCGGAAGAGCTAACATCTGCACAGCCTCTGGCTTCTACCCAACAGTGCTTCCTGTAGCTCTTATGGTGAGTGCTATGAAATGTGTAAGCCTGATGATTCACAGACCTGTACCCCTGGGACAAATAATATAGTATACATAAATAAATAAATATATAAAAGTGCCCCCAGCTGAAAGCTTCAGAAACTGAGGGTCAGAGAGGTCACCTGCTCAGCCCGGAGTCACACAGCCAGTGTGAACCAGAACTCAGACCTCCTGCCTGCAAATCCAGGTCACTTGTCTTCACTTACAACTTGCTAAATGCTTCACCCAAGCCACGCCAGCAAATGGGTGCCTCTGTCCCTAGAGGGAAATACGACACCTCCCCTGGGGTCGGAAGCAAGTTACTGAAATGTTTGCATCAATCTTTAAAGAGATTGATCGGATCATGCACCCACTCTGCTTCCTGGGCAAAGAACATCTGGAAGCTTAAAACACTCAACAGCTGGGAGATATCCTTAAAAAGCACCATTTATTACTCCCACATTGAAAGCCACACTGTCAGTTTGGGGGGAAGGGGAGCAACTTGGCAGCTATCGGTTTCTTGCCTGTGCGCCCTGAGCCCCATGAGCTACTGGAACAAACGGAAGGAGCCTGCCACCAATACACCCTTACTGATTAAGTCCCAGCATGAGTCAGGGCCACAGGACCGGTGGGTGATGGGATGCGAACCTGCATTTATTGTTTACGTTCATTCATTCCCCAAGGGGGCTGAACTGCGGGCATAGGGCAAAATCCGAGGGAGAAACCACACCACAAACATATCTTCAAAAGGCAAAAAGTTCTAAGCCTCAAATGTTCAGCCCTACCCCTCGGTCCATACTCCATCCACTGACATTCCAGAAGGACGAAAGAATGTGGATGAGCCTTGGAGCTGCCAGATGGGAGAGATGATCTGTGGTACAAGGGACAAAGGGACATTTGTGTTCAGATCCTACCCCCCCCACCCCGCCACTTCAGCAAAGCGGGGGCCTCCCCTGGACTGCCCTGTGCTCCTGAGGGCTGGGCAGAGGGTGCCATTAATAAACTTCTCCCAGGGCGCCTGGGTGGCTCAGTGGGTTAAAGCCTCTGCCTTCGGCTCGGGTCATGATCCCAGGGTCCTGGGATCGAGCCCCATATCGGGCTCTCTGCTCAGCAGGGAGCCTGCTTCCTCCTCTCTCTCTCTGCCTACTTGTGATCTCTGTCTGTCAAATAAATAAATAAACAAAATCTTTAAAAAATAAAAAAAATAAAAAAAAAAAATAAACTTCTCCCAAACACCCCTAAATTCTTCCGCGTTGCACATATCAACCATCAGCCTGGAACCCTTGAGGCAGATATAACCTCAAGGCAGGAAAGCATACCAGTGAAGACACAAAGATCCTAAAATTAGGCTGCCTGGTTTCAAATCTTAGCTCTGTCCCTACTACTTATTCACAGTTACCTTGAAAAGTCACTTACCCCTCTGCCTCGGTTTTCCTATCGGTAAAACGGGGAAATTAAGACCAACCACACAAACTACACATACAAAGGCAGAGCGCTCAGGTCGGAAGCTGGTATACAGTCAGAGCTGTTTATATGCACGCTAACATGAGTCCACAGTGGAAGAAATCAAGGCCCAAAGGAGGGTAGCAATTCATGTCATTTTTCAGAGACAGGGGCTTAGGCATGGATCCCAAGTCTCCAAAACTAGGAATTTAAAAAAATGAAACAACACTTATAAATGTTTTTCAAAACAGGAAGCACTCAACACCCTCACTCATTCATCACGTGTTTAATGACCACCTGTTGTGCCAGATACCCCGTTCCAGCATATTTGGGGCTCGTGGGCTGGCTGGATAATAATCACCAGCACTTACTGAGCAACAACTACATGCTGGCTCTGGGGGAAGCTCCCAGTGCACAGAATCTCCTTCAATCTTCGCAACAAAGTACCTGGCAGATACTATTGACTTTCCACTTTCACAGAAGAGGAAGCACACTCAAAAGGGTGACTTCTCCCAGGAGATTTGAGACTTCCCAAGGCAGAGGCAGGACCCAAACCTACACTGTGCAAACAAGAAGTCCTCCCTCTTACCCATTACGCTTCGGACGCTTTTCCATGCTCCTAATGCATGGGGACGACTCTCTGACGGCTTTTGGTGGTCTCTGCCGACGAAGAACAGAACAATGCAAAATGCTAGACAGAGCCCCAGGTCGTTAAACGCCCAGGGTCTGGGCTCTCAGACCCTAAATGAATGAATAAATCTTGCTGATGAACCAGGTCCTTCTCCCAGAAGAGAGACCTGCGTCCCCTCCTCCCCCAGTTTGGGTCTAAAGGCTGGAACGTGAGGCAGGGAGGAACACAGAAATTACAGGGCTATTTACTCGTGGGGCAGGCATCCAGGGAGGGGTGGGGCTTCTTGGGAGCCCTTTCTATTAGACCACAACCAGTGTATCTGTTTCTGGAGGGCTTACCCTGGCTGGGGGTATGTAAGTCCCGGGCAATCAGAAACACAGTTCCACCAGAGCAGGCGCCCTGCCTTCCTACATTCCAAGCAGAAAAGCACTAGGAAGTCTGGACAGGAAGAGGGGAAACCCACCTGGGCAGGTCAAGATCATCGGGCGGAGCACAATGGTCCAGCAGGACTGTGGACCTGCCTGGAATCCTGGGCCTACAATGAAAGAAAATACACTGAACAGGGGCTGTTTCCAGAATGCCAATCCCACTGCTCCCACCTTGTCTGAGCTACTGCGCATATCCTGGGCTTCAGTTTCTATCTCAGCATCAGCCTGGGGCAGGTATAAGTGATCTTTAGACACCTACGAGGATTAACACCAGCAGGACGGAGCCCTTGCTCAGCGTTTATTATTACTCTGGTCCAGAGTTAATCCTGCACAATCTGATCCAGACTTTTACCCTTGGTTCACAGTGGAGGAAACTGAGGTAGGGAAAAGTTAAGGTCACTGCACAATGAACTAAGTCACAGAAGGAGGCAAAGGTAGGAGGGAAGCAGTGGCCATCCAATGTCACGGACTAAGCTCTTCACCACAACGTCAAAAATATTTTCTTTTAGATGATCAGTGAAGGTGAAATACTTGGCCAAAGACGCCCCCTCCAATTTTGAGAGTGTAGGATCCCGGGACAGTCCCAAAACAACATGGGGTGCCAGCACTCCAGACATAAACCCTGCCCTGTGGGACCTGTGTGAACAGGCAAACAAGACGCGCCCAGGCACCTTGGTGGCTCAGTCAGTGAAGCATCTGCCTTTGGCTCAGGTCATGATCCCAGGGTCCTCAAATCAAACTCCGAGTATGGCTCCCTCCTCAACAGGGAGCCTGCTTCTCCTTCTCCCTCTGCCTACCACTCCCCCTGCTTGTGCTCTTTCTCTCTCTCTCACTAGCTCTTTCCCTGTGTCACAAAAATAAATAAATCCTATAAAAATATGTTTTAAAAAAGACCATTTACTTAAAAACAACAACAACAAAAAAAACCACACACTGCACCCAGCAGTGCTGTTTGTGTGGGGAAGGAAAACGACAAAACAAAATAAAGGAAAACAACTGCCAACAATTTGCATGCCCTTGGAGAACGGAAAAATAAACCATGGTGTGTTCACACAGTGGAAGAGATGACCACAGAGAGAAACAGACTGCTGTGAACCAACAGGGACTTATCACGAGGTGCTGAGGCCCAAAGGAAGCTGCAGAGAGCACGGAATTTCTGTAAAGCTCAAGAGGAAGGAAAGAAAATAGTGTAGTATTTAGGCTGACTCATGTATACAGTGAAAACAATTTTTAAGCAAAGAAACAGTAAACTCCAAAACTCAGAATCACAGTTCTCCCCGGAGGAGAGCGCTGAAGCATAGGGCTGGGAGAGACCGGAAAGAAGATGCAGGTGGAGTCAGTGCTCACGGGTCAGACCCTGGCTCCTGAGCAAGGTGCAGGGATTACAGGTGTCCGCCGGCTACCATGCCTCACGACTAGCCAATACATGACAGCCGTTTCTGTTTCTTCTGGAGGCATCAATAGAGGATGATGGGCTAACCACCAAAGCTACATGAAATCTGCTCACCAACTGTCACCACAAATGTTTGTCACCAAAAGCATTTGCTGGTCAATTCTTCTGCAAAAAAAAACAACTCTTGGACAGGTCTTCGATATGCTGGAGTGTCCAGGGCGGGCACACTGTGACCCCTGCTAGGCTACTGACTGCACGTTAGTGAGTACCTGCCCTCACCCAATCTTCCCCAGGTACCAGGAAGCTGGGAGCCCCCCTGTACTCTGGAAAGTGCGGTAAGAAAGGCCACCTGCTAGAACTCTGAGGGCATGACCAAGAACACGCACGGGAGAGCTAAACAGAGACACCTGACGAGGTAAACACTGGCCACTGGAATCCAAAGGATGAAGACTCAGGGCAGTGCTGCAGGGCACAAGACTTGTGCTCTGATACTCTGACTGGATGACCATGGCTGGAGTTTCATACAATTTCTATGCCTTGTGCCAAAACCAAAGACAATGAAAGAAAAAAGCGGCTAAGTTGGACATCATCAAAATTAAAACCACTTGTACATTCAAGGAGTAAAGAGACAACACACAGAATGGGAGAAAATGTTTGCAAATTATATACCTGAAAACCGATTAATACCCAGAATATATAAAGAACCCCTACAACTCAGCAGCAGCAACAAACCTTTCTGTTAAGATGTAGAAGTGGTCAATAAGCACAGGAGAAAACGCTCAACACTTAGTCGTTTAGTGCGATGCAAATCAAACCCACTGTGAGACATCACTTCACAATTACCAGGGTGGCTACCACTTACCATATACATGTACGTATAGTTAAGAATATATGTAAAATAAGTGTTGGTGAGGGTATGAAGCAACTATGGAAAACAGTATGGCAGTCTCCCCAAAAAAATGAACACAGAATCACCACATGACCCAGCAATACCTACATCCATAATTCCAGAGGCATAATTCACGGTAGCCACATGGTGGAGGCAACCTAGATGTCCATCAACCGGTGAACAGATGAACGAACCTGTGGTACGTGCGTCCAGCAGAAGAGCATCCAGCCTTAAAGCACTGACCCATGCTCCAACAGGACATTATGTTCAGTGAGCTAAGCCAGCCCCTGAAGGACAAATGCTGTCCAACCCCACTAATAGCAAGTATCTGGAGTAGTCACAGTAGCAGAGACGGAGAGTAGAACAGTGGCTGCTGAGGCTGGAGGGAGGAGGAATCGGGACTCAGCGCTTAATGGGTTCAAAGTTTCAGTTTGGGAAGACGAAGATGCTCTGGAGATTCATGGCTACACAACAATGTCAATGTGCTTAATGCCCCTGAACTGGATACCTAAAAATGGTGAAAATGGTCAATTTCATCATGTGTATTTTACCTCCATAAAAAAATTTAAATATGAAAACTAAAAACAAGCTATGCCTCAACCCCGCCACATTTGTCAATGAGGATGGCGATCAGCTCCGTCACCTCAAAGGGTTTGCTACTCAAAGGGTTTGCGTGAGCCCAAGCATGCAGGTAGAGCAAAGCGCTTCACAAGCAGGTGCTCAATAAATGAGAGTAAGCGCCCAGCATACAGCAAGAGCCGTTCTCCAAGACTCAACCCAGCCCCTCACAAAATGGGGAAGAAACAGATGGGAGACATGAAAGGCTCACTCACTGTGACCCCCGCCCAGAAACACCTCTCCCTGACCTTGCTGACACCATCGGCCAGACTGCAGGATTCCAGGCAGGTACAGAGGTGGCCGAGATGGCCTCACCTGGTCAGCCCCCCTCCCCCTCAATCAGACACCAGAAACTCTGTTCTTGGAAATCATGGGGCAGGGGGTAGGGAGCAGGTACAGAGGTCTTATCAGTAAGAGAGCCTCCTTTCAACTCCCAGGTCCACTTTCCACCAGGAATACCAGCAATCCAGGTCAACAGACAGTACAGAAATCATTTCCTATCTGCAGGGCTCACAGTTCCCCCTCCCATTCATGTTGGGTTCAAAGAGCCAGAGGTGAGATACGCAGCAGGCCTGGATCCACTTCCTCTCTGCCAACCCCCCTCCACCCCCTAGATGTGCTAGCTGGAGGGCGGATCCCCAACCACCTCTGGGAGAGCCTGTGAGCTCCCAGGGCCTCAGATGTGGTGCCTGGAAGACGAGAGGCACGCCCTAAATCTGTTCATCTGAACTCTGTTTCCTCCTGTGTCACCTTTTACAGAGGAAGGAACTCAGCCCAGAGTCGTGAAAGTCATGCATCTACCCTGCAGCAGTGCTGAGGTTCAAGCCAGAGAGTCTGGCGTTAGAGTCTGGGGAGACGGAGGCAGACATGAGGCCAGGGACATAAAGGAAGATCCGATGGACGTTGTCCCTTCTACCCACGCCGCCAGAAGCAAAGCTGGGTACAGGGAGGCACTTACAAGGGTCACCAGGAAAGCAAATGGAGGTAGCACCCTTGTTTCCTTGTTCAAAAATCCGAAGGAGACGGTCAGGGAGGAGGGAGGAGGAGAGGGCTGAGCCAGACACCTGAGCGATTCCTCTCCCCTGGCACTTCATCAATGTGCTCCTCACGCCTCCCCCTCACTGCCACCAAGCCCCACTTATAATTAAAACAGGTTTAGGACACAGAAAAAGCAGTAATGGGAAGCCCTTTGCCCTCCATCCCCATCACCCGGGAGAGCTACAACCTCAATTCTTCCCTTTGCTCTCTCAGTCTCTATCCAGAGATTGTCTCATTCAGAACAGACACCTGGGGTCTTGATATCTAAAATTTACAGCTGAAGTCAAAACTGCCCTGCCCTTTCAGAATACTGCAGAAGAGGGGAGATCGGAAAACGGGAGGGGAATAAAGAGAAACTTCATCTAGGGAAGAGGATTCGTTTTTATATTTCCTGAGGATCTGGAGTTCATGGGTTGGTTCCAAACCCAGTCTTCACACTCTGACCTGGGTTCCCATCTACTTTGTAAGAGTTGTGTGAACCTGGGCTGGTCAGGGAACACCTCTGAGCCTCCATTTGTCCCATCTGGAAAATGGGGTTGATAATGGTTGCTGTCACATAAGGCAGTGCTGAGCAATGCATGGGCTGATGCCCGTGACATACCTGGCACTGTGCCCTTCACACAGCGGGCTCAGCTACAGTCCGTAACACACCACTCTGATTAC